AGGCTCAGCTCGACGGTGGTCAGGCTGTGCTTCGCGGCGGCCCTGGCGCCGATCCTGCTCGGCCTAGCTCTCGAGCGCGCCTGCGATTTCCGCTTCCATCGCGTGCGAGTCTTTGTGTCTTCAGAATCGTGGTCGTGGTCGTTGTCGTTGATGGTGTGCGTGGGGTTTTGTGGCCTGTTCACTAGCTTGCTGCACTTTATGCTTCCTAGAAAGCGAGCAGGCGAAGGCGAAGGCGAAGGAGCGGTCGTCGGAGGCGGAGGAGCGGAGGGAGTCGACAGCAGCGGCGGCGGCGGCGGCAGCGGCGCTCCGTCCTCGGGCGTCTCCATCCTCAAGACACACACACGAAATGTGCGCAGAAAGTGAGAGAGAGGAGAGAGAAGGGGAGAGACGAGAGAGAGAGGTGTGGGCCGGCCCAGAGTGTTAATGGGTCGGCCAGACCCTACCCAACCCTAATGAAACCCCAAATTTTAGGGCCATATTCGAATAAGATTAAGGCCCGACCCCAAAATACCCCAAATTTTAGGGTCAGGCCGGGCCGGGCCGGCGCGGGTTTCATTGTCACTCGAGAGCATTTGGTTTACTTCCTGAAAGACTTCGTCATGGGAATCCTGCAAAAAAAACTAAAATAGATGCTGAAGAAGGATGAGAAGATAAGCGAGCTCGAGATCAACTTGCAAGACTCTCGGAAGGATATAGGTGTCCTGAGGGGGTTACTGCCGAAAACGTTCCACGAGAGAGACCTGATGTGGGAGGAGGTGAAGCAGTACAGCGAGAAGAACATGCTCCTGGTAGGGGTGTGCAACGGGAACCACCCGGACCGGACCGGTCGGTTCTGGGCGGGCCTAGGGGGTGTTGGTCTGGTCCTCGGTTCCCATTTTTCGAACCGGTGGACGGTCGGTCCGGTTCCCGGTTCCATGGTGAGAACCGGACCGACCGGACCGATAGGACCGGACCGATCATTTATGCATATTTTAAAAAAATTAGCTAGTTATTTTTTTATCTTTTCAAGGAATTTATTTGTTATTACTGACTTGCCAATTTTGTGAGCCATCAAGTTGCTGCGAATGGGTTGATTTTTTTATTTTTTTTTTAAATTTCTAAACAGTTACTTTACTTTCCCAATTTTCTGCCTTCTACTTACTTTCCCAATTCTTCCTCTCGGTAACCCTAACCACAGTAACTTGAGCAAAGCCAAGCCTTCCCGCGTCCAAGCCTTCCCAGTTTCCCTTTTGCCGCCTCGCCTCACGCCTTGCTCCGAGCGAGTCGCTCGACGTCGGACGCCTTTCCCTCTTGTAGCCTCGCCTCTCGCCTCGCTCGACGTAGTCTCGCGGCCTCGCCTCACGCCTCGCGGCCTCACCTCACACCTTGCTCTGAGCGAGTCGCTCGACGTCGATCGCCTTTTCCTCTTGCAGCCTCGCCTCTCGCCTTGCTCGACGTCCTCTCGCGGCCTCGCCTTAGGTCTCCCTTTCCGCCTCGCGGCCTCGCCTTCCGCCTCGCGGCCTCGCCTCACGCCTCACGGCCTCGCCTAACGCCTCGCCTCAAAGTTCCGCCAAATTCACTACGATGATGCAGTCACACGTGAGCTTCCATTTTTGTTATTTCTATGTCCCTCCAAAGTATAAATGATCGTCTTCAAATTGTTGTGCTTTTTGACAGATTACTTGATGGAGAACAAGTTGGAGGTGAAGAGACTACGGTGGAAGATGATGGATTTTTGAAGGCCTTCAAGGGTTTTTACTTGACGTTAAACCTAGAAGATTACGTCGGTGAGCTCTCTCTCTCTCTCTATCTAGTGTTGTACCTTTCTTTCTAGCTGACTTGATCTGTCGTGGAATTAATTTGTGCGGTGGGGGGCTCCTGATGATTTATGCATAGTTTAGTCATCTCTTTTAATGCGTTAAAGAGTCTGAACCACTTGTGATTTTCAGGAAAATTCTTTCTGGATGAGTTTATTCAAGTAGGCTAACAAAATATCAAGCTTCTTAGATTGTCTGTCAATCACAAAGCAGGCCAGATTGAGTGTTGAACTTCAACAGTTAAATAAATGTAATTTTTGACTTCCAATGGATAGTATTGAACAATGGCAGAAGTGTGTATTGAACTTTTGTTGATATGGGGTTCTACTCTTTTTTTTTTTGCCTCTCTAATAACACGTGTTTAAATTAGGGGATGTATATTTTTGGAAGCCCACATGGGACATATTTTTTTTTTACAAGTATTTGATTCATTTGAACCGGACCGGACCGGACCGGACCGGTCGGTCCAGTCCGGTCCCCGGTTCCAAGACTAGTCGGTCCGGTCCACGGTCCCAAAAATTGGGAACCGGTCCTCTCGGTCCGGTTCCCGGTTCTTGGATGGGACCGGACCGGACCGGGAACCGATCACCCCTAGCTCCTGGACTCCAAGGTCTCCATGTTGAAGAAGAAGATTGACGTCCTTGACAAGGACATACTCTTTAAGGATGGACAGGTAACGATCTTGAAGGACTTCTTCCTGGAGTGATCGTTTGTGACTGTGAAGCAACCATGATTCATACTGTGAATATTATGCTTACATTGCACCTTTCTTTCTTCTACTGGGGTTTGGTCGATTAGAAAGAAATTCGGCACATCTTTAGTCTCGATGACTAAAGAAAGAGTAGTTGCTTCATCTTTTTTTGCTAGAAGAGTAGTTGCTTCATCAACAACAGATTGAAATCAAGAATTCACAGTGAAAACGATTGGTTGCTTGTCGGACAGAGCAAGTGGCTCCATCTGGTTGTACGTGCATGGACGGCCTTCGCTAATATCAGATCGAACCAGTTTGACCCTTGGTTCAATTGCTAAACCAGCGAAACATACTGGTTATCAAAATAAGATCCACACTGTTTTTAAGTCCTATGGGTACAGAACTAGGCTTCTGGCTGCTGGTGCACATGGAAGGACTCAGAGCACTCAACCCAAAGACCACAGGCGCTCCGCATTACCACCAAGTGCACATGCTGATGACTTCAGCATCGGTTCACCTGTAGTCCAACCGTTTGGAACCATTGAACCACAAACTGGCAACCTGACTACGTCTCTGACCGGCCCAAGTTCGAAAATATTGGTGCAAAGCTCCAATCCCGACTTAAAACTTGACAATCTAATATGAGTTGAGGTGTAATGCATGCACTAATTTTACTACGTTACTGAAGATGATAGTGAATTATTATGCCTGATAGAGGTCCAGGTATTGTAGAATTACCATCGTGGGATGCTCCTCTTTCTCCTTGAGCATCTGAGGATGCACGAAACCCCAAATGAGGTTGATGCTCAACCTCCAGGGTACATTACTCCTGTCGTTGCTCTAGTTGGAGCTACGACTCAATACTTGACATTTTCCTTAATATTTTGGTATCCAAACAATCTTAGCCTTGGCATCGCACAAGCTTCAATATAACATGCTTAAAAATCTTAGTCAAGAGGGAAAAAAGTTGACATCTACAGCTTCATTTAGTTTACAATCAATACTGACAAAATAGTGCTATAGCACCATCAAAAAGGAAAAAACAGAAAGGTCCCCACCATCAAAGATAACATTACATGAAGAAACAGCGAATTTAAATTATTTTGAGTATGCGCTAAATCAAATAAGGAACTTAACTCTAAATATCAATATATCCTCCACAAAAAGAAGAGAAAGGATCTTTCTAGTTTATTTGACAGAAAAGTGCCATACCCAGGAATATAATCTCTTCCATCACCTTTTGCATCCTAATCTTTGATATGACGACCTTCAGTGTCACTTCTAATCACATTGTAGCATCAGTAGAGGCACATAATGAGCTCCCAAGCACTTGTTCATTTCCTTTCTCTGCAATGGACACTCTGTCACCCTTGTCATAGATGTCCCTAAGTTTCATGTGCTCGACAACAAGCCATTCTTCTATGACATGAAAACTTCCTCGCCTGTGATGCTAACCCAAAAGGTTTGTCAACTGCATTGTCACCCTTGTGTATCATATGCAAAAATATTGCAAGGGTAAGGCCAAAGTATCTTTTCTGCTGCTTCTATTTATGTTAAGCCAGACAAACTTAAATAACGCAACCTTATATACTCTTAGGAACTTAGTCGAGCATGGCATGCTATCGAGAGGTCGTAGGACTTCATCAGGCTGGAGAAGAGATCTAATCGCCGCAATAAAAAGAAAATTATTTCAGTGTCATCTCGAATGACTTCAAAAGAAATGAAATCCATCAACCATGGTATTTTTTTTTTTTTTTGATGACCCGGGTACCGCCGTACAGCCGACAGCCGGCAACGTAAACCCGGGGTGACGCTAGCGCAGGATCCACCACCACGGCGCCACACTTAAGAATCCCTAACGACTACGCTGGGATTCGAACTCCTCACCCTTCGTGAGGGGCAGAGAGCGCGAACCAACGCAGCCGCTGCGGGCGGTGGTAACCATGGTATTTTGTTATAAAGCAAAAAAACCAGAAAATTTTGCAGTGCACTATATTTAGTTACACAGCAGCAGTTTGGTTTGTCGCATACAGTTTTGGATATCATGGTTTTTATGAGCACGAGAAGAAATCTAGTTGCAACATTTGAAAGCATATTACTCAACATCATCTCCAGTGAGTTTGCTAAGAATTTTCCTTTGATAAGCAAAAGAAATCAATTGCACAATGGCTTCAAGCAGATGCTAGCTCATGTAATAAATCATGAACGCAATTCATGTTATGAGGTATAGGAAAGAATGCACACTAGTAATGTCATTTCCACGCCACCAAAAGCCGTGGAAAGCCATCTATCATTCAATCTAAAAAATCAGTAATCCCATTTTCAAGGGCTCTCCTATTTCTTTCTACCAAATAAAACAGTAATGGATCAACCATAAACACAGCCTATCATAAACAAGAGGAAGTTCTCAGTAGAACCCAAAAACATAAGTGTGCCATAGTTTCATGGAGATTTTGAACAGAAATTGCAATACTAATAGAACAGGCATTTGGATAGAAAGCAAATGAAAGTACGTTGCAAAAGGCAGTTTTCGATATTGTGGACCTGAATATCCATGCACAGCAATGAACAAGGCATTACTGCAGGGTGAGCTCGAAATCTAATCTGTAACAACAATAGGGAGAATTTTTATCATCATAGCGGCAGATAAGCTATGTTCTCCATGATAGCTACTGCCCAATCATCTCTTTGACCCAACAATTGAGATTCAAATGCAGTGTGGCATGTTCATCTTGAGAATAGCAGAATATCAGATTAGTATTTCAACACTCATTAAGTCGGACCAATAACTGAGATTGAACCTGTCATCTTATATAGACTGCTTCTGATGTCCTTGCTGGCACCAAGGCGAGCTGAGAGTTGCCAAAAGCATTATCCGCGCATTCTTTCTAAATCATTAATTTCAGAAGTTCCGGTGGTAAAGTTTAGGACTAATGAGGAAAGAGATGGATCACTCCGCCATTGGTTAACTTGGTTGATAGATGTAAGCAAGAGTTGACCAATTAAACCTGTACAGCAAATACTCGAACCTTTGAACTTGTGAAGAAGAAGACTGGAAAGCAAGTTATCTTGACAGCTCGAACAAGAACATATGACCTTAAAATGAATCATGAGGCTTGTATTCATTGTCAATTTCATGTATATCCATGAAGGACCTGTCTGCAACTGCAATATCCTCCAATTCACTGATGGCTTCTTCTCGGTCAAGCTGCATAGGGATGCCTTCATTCTTGGAGCCACACTCAAGAAAATTATTATCTTCCATATCCGATAAGTCCGTAAAAGTTTCTATCCTTTTCTTCCTCCCTCTATAACCAATAAGGCTTAGGACCTTTTCCTTCCAAATAACCAGCGGACATTTCTGAATCAGCTCCGCACCTTCATAAGCTCCTGTCAAGAACACACTAAACCTCTTTCCCCTCTCAGAGACGTAGAAAATGCCAAAATGCTTTAACAGGAGTCTCATCAGCTTCTGAGGCATCAGGAATTCTTGTCGAAAGTGGGTGAGGTGATCAGTTACCAACCTCTTTTCCATTGTGAAGCTAAGTAGCTCATGCATCACTGCAATGGCCCTCTTATCGAATTCTTTCGATCCGGCTTGGAGGCCACGTGCATCAGCATAAGGAGATAAGTAAGACCTTTTTTGAAAATGCTCAATCTTCCCTCCAAATCTATACACCTTCTTGTAACTGGCAGGAAACTTCAAGGGGAAAGATAGGGAAAGCAACCCTGGAGTATGGGAGGCAGATTCCGATACCCCCAATATGGCTTTCTCCAACTCTGTGATAGCCCAAGCAGGATTCCACTCTACAAGCTCGAGATAATCAACTTCATCTGGAGAGTTAACCACTTTGAAGTGCTGCGGATACTCGTGTACCCACTTGCTCCTAAAATCAGCTGGCAAACCAAACTCTCTCCTGAAATGAGCAATTTTGTCCAGAGGAAGCCGTTTATCGACCGACATCATCAACATCCTAGTCACGTATTCAGCAGCCGTGCCAGAGTGTTCCCTAATCAATCTCTCCTCTTCCTCTAACGAGTCTTCAGCTTCTTTAGTCATTCCACACCACAATACCCCTTTCTGATCCTTGTACAACTCAAACAGTTTCGGCGACTTCCGAATGAAGTCCACTATACTGTGTGGCTTGGGCAAATTAATTTGTCTCCGGTGTCGATCCAGCGACCTCACGGGGATTATCATCTCGGGTTCCTTCTTCAACATTTCCATGAGAACCAACACCTTAGACACCACTTTATGCTTCTCGGTGGCGATTTCGAGATCATGGACCCTCTTGTTCTTGCTCCTGTCTTGCACTCTCTTGCTCGTGGTCATGAATCTACGCTGCGACCAGTTAAGCAAAACCTCGCCAAAACTCCAATTTCTTCTGAGGGTGGGCAGACGCACTAGCGAGGTGACAAAGCATCCAGACTCTCTTGCCGCACTCCATTCATTCGAGGAAGCTACGTCTTTAACAGTGACTCGAAGATGGGTCATCTCAAGACGCTAATGCCTTGCTCCAAGTTTAAGAAACAAGCCCAAGAAAAGCTAATGCCTCTCACTCGGGACAGACATCAAACAGCTTGCGTGCAAGGGAAAGAGGGAAAACAAGACCGTGAAACGAAAACATTCGAGAAGATCACCGTGAATGCACGATTACCACCTCCTTGGGTCCCTCGATCGGCACCAGTTACGATTGGATTTCAGGTGTGGTTTGTGCGGAGAATAAGACGGGGCGAGAAGAAGAGCAAACGGGCGGCAGTTTTGGTTTTCGCAAGAAACGTTGGCATTTCTCTCTGATTATTACGTTTTTGCCCAAAAGCTTAAAAAAAAAAAAACAAGGTTAGTGCCTCGAAAAATCCAAATTAATTTTTTGACAATTCATTTGTTAGTTTCTATTAAATTAGATTAATACCATGAAAAATCACGTATTGATATACCTGTGATAAATGGAGGGTAAAACTCCAAACTGGTGTATTTGTCAACTAATACGTGTCATCAAACTCAGTAATTTGACGATAAAATTTAACGAATGCTAATGGAGGGTAAGTTTGTCGCAGGTGTATCAGTTTGAAGTTCTTGATAGTCAAAAAATTAATTTGGGGTAAATTTATCACAGGAGTACCGATTTAGGGTTTTTCGTGATATTAACCCAAAACAACAACATATCGGCTTTTGTTTTGCTTTTAAGCAGCTCAACGAGTTTTGCATTTCTCGTTGTAATTAAAATGATCTTTTGATTTTAAAAAATTAAAAGAGCTCGAGAGTCTTACAAATGGTTATATTCACGTGTGTATAAAAAACTGAGGTGTTTGACATTACCCGAAAAATCTGGTGTAAACTCATAATGAAGTTTAGTAAAAGAAATAAATTGAATCATTATCATGTAATCTGTAGACGTAGACAGTTAAACTATGCATAATTTAAAAAATTACAAAGAGAATAATCTTTTTTAGGAAAAGATATGTAAGAGATTACTAATAATTTTAACTATCAAGTAGGACTTGCATATTCAGGAAATTGGAGCAAGAAGGGTCCAATACTCTATATAAAAATCAAATTTCAAACATTAAAACAATAAATCAAGAGTGCTCCCTTTTTGTCACCCTTTAACGAAATTACTAAGTCGCAAGTGCTAGGAAATGTGTCTGCCGAGGCAAGCACGGCCTACTCTGACATGACCCGTGCCTGGCAAGCTATTCCGAATGGCTTAATTGTTGTTACATATTCTCATATGACTAAAGAGCAACGGGTGTGGAGTTTGAGCATCATGCGGTTGAACAAAGCACATATCACAATGCATAATCAATTTTTTCCTTTTCTAAAAAGAATTTTTATTTGGTTGACAGTTTGGGAAAATTATAAATCGAGCGAGACTGACGTGAGGACGAAAGTGAACTCCGTTTGCTCAGACTGCCGGTCCATGATAAATCGAATTGGAGTTATTTGACTCGAAAAAAAAAAAACAAACCGATTTTTCTCTCTCTTGTAGAAATGGATCTCACAAATTCTTTAACTCAATTAAACCTCTTTCTCTTTTTAAAAAAAAAAGAGAAGAAAAAATGAACTCAATCTTATAGCGAATTTCAAACCATTACTCAACTCGAATGAACATGATCAAATTGATTCCGCTTCTCGCCTTCCTATATAAACATGCTCCAATTTATGATCGTCGCCCATTCGCAAGAAACTCTCTTCTTCTTCCTCGCTGAGCAAACCAACCTGCAAGCATATAGACACAAAGAAATTTGAAGCTCTCACGTTGCGAGACCAGGATGAATATAAAATCGAGCCAAATCAAATCGAGTTATTCAATGCAAAATAAAAAAATTCAAATCCAATTTATTCTATACCTCTTCAGGAATGGATATTATAAATTCTTAAAATTCATAAGATCCATTAAACCTCAATTTGTAAGATCTATTTCGGAATAAAAAAACTCAATTAAACATCTTTTTCTTAAAAAAGAAAAAGAGAAAAGAAAAAATAAGGCAGGAGCCCTTATTCTCGCTTCCCGCCTCACTCTCTCTCTATATATAAGATTCCCTCCCATTTCCCATCGTTTCCCATTCTCAAAAAATTCGAAAGTCTCTCCTTCTCAACAGAGCAAAATAACTTCATCGCCGATCCTCGCGCTCCATCGTCGAGGATGATTTCATTTCTCTGGTGAGTTTCGCGAGCTCCGGCAGATTTTGATTCATCTCCTCTTCCACGATTTCATCACCGAGTATGATTTCTGAGTTCCGGCTCGCGTTTCTCGTTGATCTGCACAGCCGACGAAGAGCAGAGCTAGCTGCAGCTCGCAGAAAGAGAAGACGTCATCGATGACGCAGACGATGACGTGATCGGAACGATCGACAAAGTAAGTGAGTGGAATCAATTTACTGGAATCAAAGGTTTATCTGAAGCAAAAGTTGACAAGATATGCGAAGCAGCTGAAAAGATAGTGGTTAGAGCTTAAATTACTTGTTATCCTGAGATGGCGGCTGCAATCAATTGGAACTTCTATACGCATCTCACGTTAACTTCCCTTTGTTTTGATCAGAATTTTGGTTATATTACTGGAAGTGACGCTCTGCTCGGAGTACGTTCTTAATTCTACAAAACCAAAATGGTTCGGAAGACCCGAATGAGTCATTGACCCTTGAAATAAAGCCTGCAAATTAGCACATGGACTGTAGAAAGCTGCACTTGCTCTAAACACTATTGACCTCACAGCACAAAGTACTTTTAATGTCTTCGTTTCCAGAGGAAGTCGGTTGTTCACATCACAACTGGAAGCCAAGCCCTTGATGAGCTTTTTAGGCGGTAATAGACTTTGTTTTGCAGATTGTGTATATTATTCTTCATGCGTTTCAACAAACACAACTTTCCCTGTTCTGGAAATGTTAATCAGGTGGTATTGAAACTCAGGCAATTACAGAAGCATTTGGCGAATTTCGGTGAAAAGCACAGTCCAACAACGTTGGCTTTGACGAACTTTTACCTGCTTTTGTTAGTTGGTTTTCTGAGAAAATGCTGCTAACGTCACTTCAGGTCTGGGAAAACACAGTTTGCACATACCCTGTGTGTTTCTACTCAGTTTGGTCTGAATTGCCTTTTAGGTTTCCATCCTTAACTTCTGTTGCGTTTTATGTTTCCTAGATTAACAGTGCAAATATGAACATAGTGATTGAATTTCTAGCAAAGAATACAGCCATGGTTGATCTTGGCATCAGAACGTGCGTATTAGGTGATTCTGGAAGGATGGCACTGTCATTTTCTGTAATCTGCAGCCAGTACACTGGAATGCATAATATGCAGTGGTTCAAACCAAGTAGAAAAAAGCCAGGAGAGCGTACTAGGTCATAACCAATCAGAAGCCTTAATCATTGTTAGACTTGGACTTGGGTTGATCATCAGTTGAATGTGATGCTTGAAGTACTCTACTTTATATGCAAATCTTACAACATTATTTTCCCCTCTTTCCATCACTCATTATTAAAGGTAATCCTGTTCCATAAGATGATTTATGGTTTGTGGATTCCATGATCCTAACAATTTTTCCAGCTGCCAACTCACATGAGAGGGGGGAATGACAAGGTAGCTTACATTGACATGGACGGAACTTTGTATCCTATTATAATCTGTCAGTCATTTTCTTGACCTCAGCAAAGCTGCTTTTGTTTCATACTCGGCGTACGTCCATGTAAGTGCATATGCACTTTCTTAACTTGATGCAGTCGCCTTGATTGAATTGTACCAATAGCCGAAAGATTTGGCATGGATCCTGGTGCCGTCCTAGATAATGTAAGCAATGCTTTCTACACTGGTGGCAATTCTTCCTTCTTTTCTGGCTAATCTACTTGCTGTAATCTAGTCTTTCCATGAATTTGAAGATCATTTATGCCCGTGCCTATACTTATGAGCATCAGCACAACTTGCTTCTTGGTTTGGCTGCCAAAATGTCTGAAGAACCAATTAGGTTACTGGTAAGACAGTGCTCGAAAATCAAACTGCACGCATTTTGTGAGGTGTCGATGGTTGACCTTAGCTGAGTTATATCCTTCAGACTGTGGATCCAGTGATCACTCTCTTTTGAGTGGATTTTACTGGAAGGGAAGAATTTTCAGAGCGTTAGGTCGATTCTGAAACCATCAAATCATGCGAGTTGTAATTTTTCAGCACATCTGGTTTGACACTAATAGATTCCCAATTGCAGCAAAAATTGGCACAAATGCTCTCACGCTTACTTAAGACAGCTGAGGAATTTAACTTGGCAGTGTACATGACCAATCAAGGTACCGCGTCACATCTCCTTTCTCCCACATAGTCATCCACTACAATTTCTTATCCAATTTAGCCCTTTGAGGGTTTCTCACTGAAAAATAGCAATTTGGGGACTGCACTAAGCTCATACTAGTTCTTGTAAATCTCAAGAACCAGCTATTTGGTGTAAACTGGCGATGCATACAGTAGCTGCAGTCCATGAGTTAGGAAAAAGATGATTTTTTGATGACTTTGTCTTTATTTTTTTTGTTTCAGTTGTAGCTGATCCAGGCAGTGGTGTGTTCGTATCAGACTCAAAGAAACCCTTGGGCAGGCATGTTCTGGCTGACGTAGCCACAATTAGGTTGATGTTTAGGAAAGGCAAAGGTGAGCAGCCCGTTTGCAAGGTGTTCAATGCGCCAAACCTACCCGAAGCTGAAGCTATATCCTTTTTGTGCCAGATCTTCCTCTAGTTATATACTTTATTGAACTTTATGAGATCATACTGCAAAGACTTAAGTAAAACTGTAAAATATCTATAAGTCTATATCAAAATCTTCGAGAAAGTCAATACTGAGTCTACATATAGATAGGTGGAGACCTGATTTAAGCATGATGCTCACAGTATACTCGATGTTGTATGGAGATCCGCAAACACGTTGAATACCAAATTTGTGCAGAGGAATTAAACAAAAAGAAGTGGAGAACGAGAATTTTTCAAAACCATCACTTTTTAAAGAAATTTTAGCGAGAGCTCATATGTCAATAAGATGAGATTGAGATTTATTTTATCTATGTTGAACTTGACAGACACATGTTTTTCAGATAACACTGGGGGTCATAGCTAATGCAAAGGACTAAAGAGGTCTCTCCAACCAGGAAGGCCAGGCGAAGTACTTTTTTTTTCGAATCTGCAATTTGATATTAGCTATCGCATTGACAGCTTTCTCTGTCTTCTTTCATATTAAGTTTGTATGGGCATGTGTCAAGTTCCCTTTGACTGCTTTAAAATTGCACGAGAGTTTGCTGCTTTCGCCTTGATATCTAACTTGCTATATTGTCTATTATTAAAGTTCAGATGACCCTTCACAAGGCGTTGTGTAAACTCAATTTCCATATGAGGACAAGCATGCTCCAAGTTATCATGATTCACATTTGTCCACATATAACAATGTTGTCCCGGCCTAATTTACTAGTAGAGATAACAATTACACAGTAGACATCTAAGTAAAAAAAAACACGACATTGAATAGACTCTCTGCATGATGGCTAAATGAAATGCTAGAAAGATATTATTGCACATAGCATGATCAGGTTTTGTAAAGGCTTGGTTCTATAAGCAACATATACAGCTGGATAAAACAATGTTACCTCAGATTCTCAACATAGAGCAACCAACCATTAGAGTAGAAAATTGTCAATGTATGAGAAAGGGTGACTGGGTCGTAAGCAACAGGAGGCCATTCGATAGCCAATGGCCGCGCCAAAAAAGGGCCACAAAGCATATGACTCGGTAGTGTGTGGACTAGTTTGCAGCACTTCCAACTCTAAGCATGCTGGACTCCTTAGTCTCCGCATCCACTTTGAATGTGGCGCCACACACTTGGCCAGAGCTGTCCACCCTAGGAACCGGCTTCACCTCATTCGGTGGGTGCTCATAACTCCTCAAACCTCTGGAGCTGGTAAAGAAGCATCCTGAGTAAAAAAAGAAGGCAACGTTAAAAGGTGAATGCGATTTGGAGCTGGAAAACCATCGGAAGAGCAACATTGTAGGTGAATATGCACATGTCAAAACATACATACAAGTAAAGAACACCATTTTAACCTTAGATTAAAAATTTAGGTTTGAAACCAATTTTTTCCAATATGTTGTTACCCAACAACATAGCATTCTCCTCTGAGCTCTGCTTAATATCAGCATAGCTCATCCATTCTTACTTTTCACATTCCAATGCTCGGAGGAAACTCCAGTGACGCAGCATTAATGATCCGTGCAAATAATTACCTTTACGAAATGGTGCAATAGTTTCCCATAGCCCTTCTTCATGACTTCTACATTGTCTAACAGAACAAGATTGCCTTTGGAATCACTTCCCCAGAAGAAAGGGAAACTTCTGTCAACATCCTGTATGATTCGCCTCAGTGGCTGGTTTTCGGATATTTACGTGAAAAATCTCCATGAGGAAAATCAGTTTGTATTAAGCATTGAATTAAGGAAACTGACTTCAGATGGAAGAATGAATTGCGGCAGTTAGCAAATGAAAGCGAATGTGGATCGATTTTACTTCATTGGATCCAAACCCAATCAATCTTGATGAGAGCGATTTCTTGGATGAGGGGCCAAGAGTCGCCGGTGAGTTTTGATCATCCATCTTTCAGAATCTCGCATCTACGTTTGTGCAATTGTTGGAGGGAGAGAGGGAGGGAGGCCATCCTCTGGCAATCACCTCAACTTCGGGCAATCTTCAATCCATTAACGTTGGAGAGAGGAGAGGTGGTTGTGAAGACTGCTTGATACTCTTTCCACGTTCCTTGTATCTGTCAAGTTAAGAGAGGTTAGAGAAGAAGGAAAGAGAAGACTCCACGCATCCTCGTCCTCAGAAGGAAACCACACCTTCTCTCTGAATTCGCTTCCAGAGAAAGTTGGTTGTTCGCATCACAACTGGAAGCCAAGCCCTCGATGAACTTTTAGGCGGTAATCGACTTTCTTTTGCAGATTGTGTATATTATTCTTCATTTGTTTCAGCAAAAACAACTTTCTTTGGTTCGGCAATGTTAAACAGGTGGTATTGAATCTCTAACAATTACAAAAGCACTTGGCGAATTTCGGTGAGAAGCACAGTCCAACAACGTTACCTTTGATGAACTTTTACTTGCTTTTGTTATTTGGTTTGGAATCTCCCACAAACTCGTGCATCCGTTAGAAGATCTTATCCTATTGAGCCCTTTGATGGTTGCTCACTGAAAGACAGCAATTTGGGGACGGCACTAAGCTCATACTGATTCGTGCAAACTAGTGATACATAAGAGTAGTTGCAGTCCATGAGTTAGGAAGAAGATGATTTTTTGACGACTTTGTCTTTGATTTATTTGTGTCAGTCGGAGCTGATCCAGGCGGTGGTGTATTCATATTAGACCCAAGAGAAACCTGCAGGTGGGCATGTTCTGGCTCTTCCAGCCACAATTAGGTTTATGTTTAGGAAAGGCAAAGGTGAACAGCGCGTCTGCAAGGTGTTTGATGGCCCAAACCTACCCGAAGTTGAAGCTATATCCTTTTTGCACCAGATCTTCGTCTGGCTTTACCCGATTATACTGTAGAGACCAGGTAAAATACCTAGGAATCTATATCAAAATATGTGAGAAAGTCGATACCGAATCTTCATATGGATAGGTGGAGTCTTGATTTAAGCATGATATTTACAATATACCTAATGTTGAATGGAGATCCATAAACGTGTCAAATATGAATATTGTGTGGAGGAATTAAATAAGAAAGTGGATGTCGAGAATACTTCTAAGCAGGACTGGTTGATTAGCTATGCAGCTTGTGCTATGTATACGATGCACATCTATCAATACCATCACTTAATTTCACTCAGAAAATTTAGCGAGAGCTCATCATGTCAATAATAGAAGATTGAGACTTGTTTCATGTGTGTTAGACTTGACGAACATGTTTTTCAGATAACACCAGGAGGCATGGCCGCTGCAAAGGACTAAAGAGGTCCCTGCAAGCGAAACAATTAAGATCAGGCACTAAAAATGATAATGAAAAAGGGCGCCATATCTGGACGGGTGGGCGGAATGGATGAGCAAAGGGTGCCATGGACTGAGGAAGATCCCGAGTCTCATCTAAGACAACTAAATGCACCCCGAGATTCTGCCGAAGAACTGGGGGACCTTCTTGAGCACAGGATAGGCAATTGAGAGATAGAGCTAGCCTATTCCCTTTTTTGTTGATCTGCAATTTGATATTAGCTGAGTATTGACAGCTTCCCTCTATCTTCTTTTTCCTATTAAGTTTGTATTGGCACGTGTCAAGTTCCCGTTGACATCTTAGAAATTGCAAGATTGACTGCTGCTTTAGCCCTAATCTTTAACGTGCTATCATTGTCTGTTATCGAAGTTCAGATGATCCTTCATAATGTGTCGGGTTCACTCGATTTCCATATGAGAACCAGCATGCACCAAGTTACTTCGGTCCACTTTTTTCCTCATTTAATAACTACTAGAGATAACAGCATTACAATCGACATCTAATTCGAAAAAACGTAACATAAGAAAAATTGCATGATGGCTAACTGAAATGCCAGAAAGATATTATTGCACATGATCAGGTTCTTTAAAGGCTTGGTTTTATAAAAAACATGTACAGCTGCATAAAACGTCATCTCAAACTCTCAACATAGAGCAACCGACCATTGGAGCTGAAAATTGTCAATATATGAGAAAGGGTGACTGGGTTATAAGCAATAGAAGGCCATTCAATAACTAATGGCCTGGCCAAAAAAGGGCCATAAACCATAAGACTCAGTAGTGCGAGGACCAGTTCGCAGCACTCCCAACTCTAGGCATGCTGGACTCCTTCTTAGACTCCGCATCCACTTTGAATGTCGCACCGCACACTTGGCCAAGCTGTCCACCCTAGGAACCGGCTTCACCTCATTCAGTGGGTGCTCATATCTCCTCAAAACCTCCAGAGCTAGTAAAGAAGCAACCTGAGTGGAAAAGAAGGCAATGTTTAGAGGTGAACAGTTTGGTGCTCGAAAACCATTGGAAGAGCAACATTGTAGGTGAAAATGCACACGTCAAAACACGCATACAGATAAAGATTGCCACTTTAACCCTAGATCAACAAGTTAGATTTGAAACCAATTTTTCCAACTCATGCCAAAGCTTATGCATCTTTACTTCCTATAAGTCTTCCAATATGTTGTTACCAAACAATGCAACATTCTCCTGTGAACTCTGCTTAATATCAGCAAAGCTCATCCATCCTTACTTTTCACATTTCAATGTGCGGAGTAAACTC